TGTACTAAATGCCACTGAATTATATGCTTTAAAATGGTTATTTTTACATTATGTGAATTTTACCTCAATTAAAAATATTAGAAAATAAAAATTAGACCTCATTAGATTTAGCCTGATTATTTATATAGGTGCAGCAAAAATGGTAATTTACTGTATAGACCTTCTTAAGCTTGCTTTGTTGGAATTTCTCATAAGAAACCACACTTTGAAATTTTAAAAGCCTATTAAGGCTAGGAAGCCAAGCTAAGATTTTACCTGCAATACCTATAAATTTGGAAGTATTTTTCTCTTCTTGGGGTCTGCAAAATATCCTAGGTCTCCAGAGCCTGCCAGGAAGTGACCTTCCTTACTCACTAGTAAGGCTGGGAACCCTATAAACCAGGTCCCAGGCTAGTTTTCCCAAGAGGGCTTTGTATGTATTGGCTCAATAAAGTCAACCTTTAAAGTGTCTGATCAAATCGGACTCAATGAGTTTCATTCACAAATATGACATTCCAGGCAAGGCCTTGGTTACATAAGCAATGTTTTCAATCATATCCTGATAACAAGTAGGACAGGTCAATTGTCATTAAACCTATGCAGGTAATTATATTACTATGAAAATAAAAACAAGATAAGAGTTTCCGAATCCTGGAGTGCTCAGGCAAGGGGAGTGTGACAAATAGAAACATATCATGGCCAGCGAGGGCATTGATGAATCTCTAGAAACTTCCTGTACAGCATACAATCTCTGAAATATGTGTATTAATAACATTTTACCTATACCAATTTAACCTAGGGAAGGCTGAATATCTCTTCTTTTTTTAATTGAAGTATAGTCAGTTTACAATGTTGTGTCAATTTCTGGTGTACAGCATAATGTTTCATTCATACATATACATACAGATATTCCTTTTCATATTCTTTTTCACTATAGACATCTCTTGTTAGCAAACTTTCCCATGCATATCATCAGTAGTAATGTATCAAGTAAACATAATTATTTCTAGCAACTCTCATTTTATAAGGTAAAAGAACACAGATCCTTTGTGATTTTACAGAGGCCCTCTGGGGCTTGATTAAGATGGGATAATGGATTACTGAAAAACAATACTTGGTTCTCTATTTAACCAAAATGACAATAAAAGATTTTAAAAGTAAGCATAGGAGGTGATATGACTGTAAAGAATCTCATCTCTTTCGTAAGTGAGAAGACTCTGCTTTCTTAAATAATCAAGGACATAATTACAAGTCACCATAAACCATAGAAGGTTATTCTGCTAAGACACGGAGTCTTTGTTATTGAGGAATATTACTTAGATGGCAAAGCACAACCTTTACAACCTGTTATTAAAAGAAGAAAGACAGATAATGCAAAAAAATTGTCATTTTAGCAGAGAGAAAACCAAAATCTAGTTTTGTATCAGTATAATATTTCATACCAGTGTTCTTTCTGGAAATACTATAAATAAGTCCATCAAACCTTAGCTAACTTTGACCTCAATTAAAAAAAATTGCCTTTCTGTGAATCTTCTACCACTTTCTATATCCATACACATCCCTTATAGTACAACAACTTCTCTGAGTGGCAAAAAAGAACATGTTCGTTAACAGACCCAAATACATATAGCCTCTCTGTAGCATGTAAAAATAAATAGCAAAAGCATATAAGCCCAAAATTATGCATAGTAATTAATGCATTCTCTTACCTAGAAACCATCTAGGTATCTAATGAGTATCCATTAATTAACTCAAGTTAATATCAGCCCAAAATCTTCAGTTCCCTAAAGATCTTATAAATTGTCTTCAGGCTGACATACTACAAGACATAATTATTGTTAAAATAAAGTTTGTCAGAATAAGGACTCAATTTGGTTAAATAGATTTTACATTTGTCATAATCTCGAATATTTAGTAGAAGTAATATTAGCTCATTCAATCGGTAAACGTATATACATTTAGGAAGAATATACCCAAGTCGAATAAAAATCTACATGTACGTTAAACTTAACACTGATAAAGACATAGCTGATTTTAGTAAACCAAAAATGTTTTTTTCTTTTTCGTTATGGTTTATTACGGGATATTGAACATAGTTCCCTGTGCTATACAGTAGAACCTTGTTGTTTATCTATTTTACATATAGTAGTGTGTATCTGTTAATCCCAAACTCCCAATTTATCCCTCCCCGACCCGCTTTCCCTTTTGGTGACCATAAGTTTGTTTTCTGTGTCTGTGAGTCTGTTTCTGTTTTGTAAATAAGTTCATTTGTATCGTACTTTAGATTCCACATGTAAGTGATATCATTTGGTATTTGTCTATGTCTGACTTAGTTAGAATGACAATCTCTAGGTCCATCCATGTTGCTGCAAATGGCATTATTTCATTCTTTTTTATTGCTGAGTAGTATTTGTGTGTGTGTGTGTGTGTGTGTGTGTAAAATATCTCCTTTATCCAGTCATCTGTTGACAGACATTTAGGTTGCTTCCATGTCTTGGCTATTGTAAATAGTGCTGCTATGAACATTGGGGTGCGGGTGTCTTTTCCAATTAGAGCTTTCTCCAGATATTTGCCCAAGAGTGGGATTGCTGGATAATATGGAAACTCTGTTTTTAGTTTTTGAAGGAACCTCCATATTGTTTTCCACAGTGGCTGCACCAATTTACATTCCCACCAACAGTTAAACCAAAATTATTAAATTAGTCTTCTTTGCTAAAAATTTACCTAAATTATGCAAACTTAAATTCTTAAAACATTTGAGCTTGTTTTTGTAGGAATAATTTTTTAGCACATTAAAAGTCTTAAAAGTTCAATTTCCTTATTTTCTGGGAATTTGAGGAATGCTCTTTGTATCTAAGCACTTACATATTTTTATAAACCAGTGAGAATAGAGCTCTTTTAATTTCAGAAAAATATTATGAAAATATTACACACTGACAAATTCCTTTCTGAATTACAGATGTCATCATTATTACTATTCAAGCTGTTACCATAGGAGAAATGTTCATTAACAAGGAACAGCTCAAAGAAAAGGCAAGGGGGGGCTAGGAGTTTTATAGAGGCAGGTAAACAAGATAGAGTTTTATGGGAGTCATGAGGTAGCATGAAAATGATTCTTTTTGGAATATGCCAGGGCAGAGTGGGCCTTTGCAGTTAACTGTTTCTTGGAACACAAAAGGGTTGGGGGGCAGTTCCTAACCATAGCTGATTTCTAGAAACACAGGGCCCAGATAGAGTTCAGTACAGTCAATGAGATGATTCTGCTCTGTCATTTTTGTCTGTAGAGTTTCTGTGTATTCTCTTTTATATGCCGTACTATTTCTGCTTGCCTTTTCTGTTGGTTGCTTTTGTTTTTTTGTGCTTATGACTTGTCTCCCTAACTTAATCATAGGCTCTCTGAGGGAAAGACGGAGGTCTTGTGTTGGTTTGTATTTCTCCTCCCCCCCAACTCCCTCCTCCTTTTGCCTAACACTCAATGTTCCATCCCGTCTACCCAAAAGTCAATTTAGACAGATTATCTCTTTTTTGATGTGCTAAGACAGTAAGTAGACTTACAAATTATAAGCTTTTCATAACTAGAAGATAGCATCCAGGAACTTTCGAAGTTACAGATTTAATTTGTATTTACAGAGACCTCATGGATGGATAAATCTTTTTCTCTAATTGATTTCTTCCCGGTTGCAAATGTAATGCCAAGCTATTCTTTTCTGTGTTTGTTTGTTTTGAGAGAAGGTAATTAGGTTTATTTATTTACTTATTTATTTTGATGGAGGTGCTGAAGATTGAGCCCAGGACCTCATGCGTGCTCAGCACATGCTCTACCACTGAGCTCGACCTTCCCACCTCAAGCTGTTCTTTTGCTAGATGATCACGGAGTTCGCCTTCATGAGCAAAGTCAGCGTCTATTGATGTTTTTATCAACTTCCTGCTCACCAGCATACCTGATTCAGCCTGGAACCAGGGCATTGTTCGGATCTCAAATGTTATTATGGAAAAGATTTCATGAAGAAGTTTATGTATTGTGTGGGCACTAGAAAACTGTTACAACCTCACAGTAGCAAAGATGCCATTTTAAATGATACTTATGACTAGAATTCTGTTTCAAGTAAAGTATCAGGGAGAAGGTAGGAACAAAATGAGCCCATTATTTAAAGTGTCTGTGGAAGCAAATGAAACTGAAGCAATTAGGATGAAGCCTTAAAAATAAACTATAACACATGTTTGATGATAAAGAATATTCTCTTACATCTACTCAACAAGGCTTAGTGGAAGCATAATGAAAGACTAGATTAATGTGGACAAGAGGTTAACCTGACACAGTGTCACCAATAGCAAAAAAAGTTACAGGACTTCAAGGAAGTCAATGAGGATAACTTTAGTGAAGGAAACAAAAGAACTTTAGAAGAGGCCGCTTCCACCTCCATTGTAATAATTACATTTACAGAAAGGCAACCACACGTTGCTGCACATGAAGTTATGAGTTTGTACATTCTACACTCAGCTTTTATGAGCAACAAGTGCCAAGACTTACTCAAAAAAAAATTCTAGATTATGTCATAGGGTTAGTCCAGAGAATCCAATCTCCAGTGTTGTCTACACATGGCTGAGCAAGTGCATCGTTAAGGCCCCTTCTAGATTCTAGCTTTCTTAAAGTCCTAGAAGTGGTAATCAGTGGTCATTATGAAAACCCCAGGGGGTACTACAATTTAAAAAAAAATGATTCCTGAATCCTTAGAGACAGGTTCTGTTTTGTTCAATATAGTTATAAAATTTTAAGTCTGAAAAATCAGGAATCCTGAATGGAAAATGTTACCAATCAACCAGAATATTCAGTTTACCAAAATATTTCATTCGTGGATCACTCTCAGCCATTTCCTATATAATCTCAGTAGGTAGATTTTTGTTTTTCTTAAAAGAAATGGGAATTGTAAGGGAATAGATCTCAAGGGTTAGATCCTTGGCTGTAAAGACTCCCTTGGATTGCTTGTGGCTGTTGGCTGTAGCAACTTGTTTTCTTGCAGAGATGAAGCATCTGGTTTTTGTTATCTCAATGATGCTGTCCTGGGAATACTACGATTGCGACGGAAATTTGACCGTATTCTCTATGTGGATTTGGATCTGCACCACGGAGACGGTAAGCCCTTCACTTTCAAAGGTGCTTGGCTGCTAGGACAGCAGTTTTTTATCAGTAAAGCTGCTTCTAGGCAACTGGTAACAGGAGAAAGGATTGTTGCAATTGAAATTTTCCTAATTGAGAATCCTCCAGTAGGTAGATGTTCTTTTACTGATGTAATTCATCTCGTGCTGACCAAGCTGCTTTCAAATACCAGGTTCCTGTCATTTGTCCTCCCCTCTCCTCTAGTAGCAAAGCTCTACAGTAGAGAACTTTAAGGAGTGGAAATCTAGGTGAGATTTCCTAGTGTTTACTCAGTAATCTGCCTCAGGCCACTTCCATAGGTTGTAAGTGAAACCCACCATTAGAGCTGACAGTCTTGATGCTTCTCTTAAAATAGAATGGGTGCATGATAGACTAACGTTCTGAGTTTTTCACCAATAGGGATCCCAACTCAGGTTGTGATCAGAATCTGTGCCACTTGTGCATTGCTAAAATACTTAGTCCTGCCCAAAGCCGGGGCCTCTTCTCTAACTTTAAAATAGCAGCAGAATCTCTAACAATTTGCCTTCACCCCACTAATCCTCTCTTAGAAGACTTCACTGGGAGGATGTATCCTGCCCCCCATGTACTTTCCATCTAGAATGTAGAGCTTCAGTGACAGTTCCTCACCTCTGTTTCTTTAATAGATCCTGTGTGTGACACGTATTTCCGTTGATCTAGGAACACTTAACCAATAAAATTAGTTAAGGCTGTGCCCTCCCCTCCCCCACGTCAGTGATTGCTGCTTCCCTGTTTCCAGGGACGTAGGGAGAGAAACACACAATGAAGGCATAAGAGAGGAAAAGAGCAGTATATGACAGAAGCTAGGGTCAGCTCTGCTGCCAGAATAGAAAAAGAAGGAAGGAACTGTGGGAGCAACCTCTGCAGGGAGTTTGCCCAGATGGAAGCTTCCATTGGAGTGCTGACAGAAAATTAAAGGTAACAGAGGGGAGAGAGAAGGGTTAAAACAACCAGCTCTCTACTTTGAGAACCATGTCCAATGAACGTCAGAGCACGCAGCCAATGCAAAACACAGGCTTGCTCAAAACCCTTCAGAGGCTCCCGATGGCCTATAACAAGGGTAACATTTGGCCCGTGGCTTGTTTTTGTATGACCAGCGAGCTAAGAATGGTTTTGTACATTTTTACAAGGTTGTAAAGGAAAGAAAATGCAATAAAGACTGTGTAGTTTGCAAAGTCTAAAATATTTACTGTGTAGCCACTTGGTTTGCTAAGCCTTGGCCTATAGTAGTGGTGCTCAGACCTGAACGTGGAGCAGGATGACCTGGGGGAAGCTCGTTGTCAAATGCAGATTCCTGGGCCACGTGCACCAGATATTCGGGTTTAGTAGGTCTGGTGGGGGACCCGGGAATCTGTATGTTAACAATACCCCAGTTATTCCACTGGCTACACTTTGAAAAGCAGCAGTCTTCACGGTGACGTCCACCCTCTTTCCCCTGTCTTTCAAGGCCTGCCTCAGAGAAGCCTCACCTCCTCTCTCTAACCTTCTCACGACTTGCTGTCTAGGCTCAGTGATGCCCAGACATAGCTCACTGCTGCCACCTCCCTGACTTTGTGCCACTTTTTCTGAACTTAGTTTTGCATTCTCTTCCCCTTTTTGCATCTTCAAGTTCTATGCAGTACCTCAAGTTCCAGTGATTTGCCCCAACCCCTCCAGCCCAGGTGGTCATTCCCCTGCTCACGTCCTGTAGTGTTTATATCGCTGATTTGATATTTAATTATTTATTGTCCTGTTTTGTTGGTGAATTCTTGACTGTGTCCGTGTCTTCTCCTCCCATAGAAACTTTCAGTTCCTCCAGAGCAGAGATCAAGTTGTTTGCTTCTCTCTCCTCCACCGTGGCTGGAACAAACAGAACTATGCCTGTAGTAGTGGTTCAGTAAAATATCTGTTGAATGAATGAATGATTATGAGATTCAAGCTCTTAGTATCAGAGTTCAAGAATAGAATCAAGTCCATTGAACCCTGCGAGAATGAAATAAGACTGTCACCTGAAACCGTGCTTTCCATTTGCAATGTTATTTCTACACCATTTAGAGTTTCCTGTTTTAGCCAACTTTTATGGTGTGTTTCATTTCAGTTTATTTCCCCTCTTCAGCACCTCCCTTCCAGTGACCCCTGCCCCACCTCCAAACTCTTACACATTTGATTTATTTTCAATCTCCCATGATTCCGTAACTAGCATCCCGCGGTGGCTTCACTGGCACCCCTACCCCGTCCTCACCTTCTCTCACTGCCTAACCACTCTTCTCTTTCACACCAAGCCCCATACCCTCCTATCAGTCTGTGTCCTTTCTTAAAGTATGATTTTTCTAACAATGCCTAATGGCGTTCCCCATGAGAAGAGATGCAAATGGTGACCAAACATATGAAAAGGTGCTCCACACCTGAACACTCAGAGGAATGCAAATGAGAACAAGACCATTCTTTCTGCCTAATATTAAAAAGAAGAATAATACTCAGTGCCAGTCATTATGTCAGAAAATGGGACTGTGCATACACCATTGATAGAAGTGTAAATTGGCACCACCTTTCTGGATGGATAATCAGGGTTTTCCTGAATTATCCTTGTTTAGACTTCCGTTTCTAAACTAAAATGCTATTTTAATTTATTGTGTTTTGTTTTATTTTGTTTACTTAATGCTTTGTGCCTGGAGCCTTTAACTGGTTTTAACTGCCTCCCTAGGGCAAAACGTAGGCTGGGAAATTCAAACATACCTGTGATATACAAATAGAGTTCATATTTTTTTAAGGTCTCTGTTGGCCTCTAATGAGGACTGAAAGCATTAAGTAAACAGAGACAATTTCTTTATTTGAAGTATAAAAGGGGGTAATACATGAATTTGCTAATAGTCCTTCCATTTTACAGTCAATACGTGATGCTGGGAGGAAAAGTATCGAAGTAGGCAGTATGTTTATCTGAATAAGTAGAGGCTCATAAGAGACATCTTCTATCTCCCATGTCTCTATTTGTTTTCTGACTCTGTTTAAATGGGAAGGAGACTCCTTTTTAGAAGCATTTCCCCCTATCTTTCTCCAGGCTTTAAAACTCTTGTCATAAAGCTGCTATTAAGGGACAAGGCCAGAACTACTTTCAGCCTTCCATGTTTTAGCCAGAAACTTGTACTCTAAGTTACTTAATTCACACGGAACTTTGCGTGAATTGCATTTAGAACTAAATCTGTATTATTAGAGAGGCACTTTATAATTAGGTTTTCACTGTATAATGCCTTATGTTTGTATTGGTCATGTTTTTCAAAGGGTTGCCACATTGTACTTCTTTGGGGGAAAAAAATCCCAAGAATTTAACTAGAACCACTGTGACAAAACAAAACATAAAGCTTCCAAGAAGGTGCCAGTCTCCTTTATTCAGCGCTGTTGATGATGCCTCAGTTCTGAGCTCCAGCTCCTCCCTACCTTTTAGGACAGGCTGTCAACAAGAGTCTGGGCATTCCATTGCTTGGAGATATCCAACTTTAATTTGCCATGAATTTGAAAAGGAACCCTAAACTTCACTTGGAGCCAAAGTTCTACCTCATCCTGTCGTGACAGAGATCCAAGACAGAGGGTGCTGTTACTTTTGTTCCTCAGTTTGTTAACTTTATTATTGCAGTCTTCTCTCTCTTCCTTCCCGTGGCTGCTTTCTAGAGTTTCAGTTGTTTGAAAACAGGAGTTGCCCAGATGAAGTGATTCTTCTGCTGTTTCTTTCTCCGGTAGGTGTAGAAGATGCCTTCAGTTTCACCTCCAAAGTCATGACAGTGTCCCTGCACAAATTTTCCCCAGGATTTTTCCCAGGCAAGTGCTCTGTGTGCTCAGTATTACTTTGGACTAATAAATACTGCCATTCTTCTGTACATTTCTTATATCTTGTATTTGGACAGTTGCATGCTGTTAATATCTTCTTGGCGCTACTCTATGCAAAAATTTAACACAGGCCATTTCAGATGACAATGAGAAGAGGAGTGTAATGCTCAGTCTTTATCCAGATGATTTTCATGGACTTTCAATAGCTCACTTACACTCACTGGACTATAAGACAGCCTGTGAAACTCCCCACATCCTGATAAGTGCAATGATACATTAATATGATATCAATCTAAGATGTATGAAAAATCAAGCCAAGGGGTTAATCTTTTTTCTCCTTTCATTTGATCCAACAAGATGGAAACTACGGTTTTTGCATTTTCTTAGGATTCTCCTACTTCCCCTACATTGTTTACAACAGTTGTTTTTCTTCATTTCACTCCCTTCGAAACCAAACCATCGTTAATTTGGAATTTTTCTCCTAATTGACCTTTTGATCTTCTGAATTCCGCTCAGAGGAGCCTTCAGGTTTTCTCATTCTCGTGTTCTCAAACCTCCTCACGGCACTCCTCTCTTTGACAGGAACAGGGGACGTGTCTGATGTTGGCCTAGGGAAGGGACGGTACTACAGTGTGAACGTGCCCATTCAGGATGGCATACAGGACGAGAAGTATTACCACATCTGCGAAAGGTATGGCAGCCATACTGAGCCAGTAACAAGTGGATGCCATTTCTGGAGGATGAAACGGCCTCCAATCTCACAGAACCATTTCGGGAAAAATGGCTACTGTACATCCGTGTAGCTTTTGTACACTGCTCATCATGCTTATTTGATCAGGTAACCATCCCCCTTCTGGGAGAGCAGAGTCTTTGGACCAGAGCCACACTCTTGATTCGAGCTCACCCACTACCCCACATGATTAAGCCATCCCAAGAGCAGAGCTTCTCAGCTGTCCTGGGGAATCCCTTTTCTGCTACTTTCTTGGCCAAAACCTGCATGTGTGTGATTTCATTAGCCTGGGAGAGTCAGTTTCAGTTTTCCATGATGGAGATCGGCTTCCATCTACTGGTCTGAATCTTAAAGAGTTCTTTATTACAATCTCTTGAGTTCTATTGTGGTGCTCACATTAGAGTCAGAAATCTGTTCTTTTTGCACTATAGTTAAGGATGAAATTACAGCCACTTGTAGTCAGATGGTTTGGTGCTAATGTGTAGAGAGCATGAGGGCTGCAAAGCCCTACAGAATGGGGAAGAGGGTGGCGAAACTCATATTCATAAAAATTGAGACTGGTCAGGTACAAATTCACTGCTGACACTGGCAGTAGAGAAAGTGAGTCTGACTACAAGTCGGCAAGTCAACATTACTTAAGTTAAGTAATGGGGATTGAGCTGCATTCGATGCCTCCCCGACTCAGCTCAGATTTCTCCCAACCTCTGGTGGAAATGGACTTCCCAAAGGAGCCTGCCCCGGCCGTCATCACTGGCAGTTGTATAAACAAAGTAGAAGTATTCAAAAATAAAAACTTTATGCGTCAAAGGTGCCTCTTATCTCCAGAGATTTGGCAAACTGAGTCAGCAGCGGTGGCACTAGCTTCTTCAGGATTTTGATCCTGTCCCCTGCTTTTTTTTTTTTTTGAGCCTGCCATTGATGACTTTAATTGCCTTTTTTGTTCCCCTTAGGCTCTGTTCTGTCCTTGAGATGTGTAGATCAGAGCCGCTTATGTAAGTTTACTGAAGAAGATGTCCTGTGATTCTATGTAAAAGGAGAAGTATTTTGTTTTTCTTTTAATCCCCTTATTGACAGTGCTCAACGTTTTGTTGCCCTTTTTTTCTTTTCTTTTCTTTTCTTTTTTTTTTAAACCATAACAGGAAACTAGGTTGTTCTCTTCAGTGCTCTGTCCACAGGGTTTCCTAGAGCTTTTTCCTGGGTCTTAATTGAAAGGTCAACACCCATCATCCTGCAAGTGTAGTTGGTAAGCTCTGGCCCTCCCTAAAAGGATCACCTTACATGTGCCCCTGTTAAAGCTCATCTACCAGTCATCAAACCTCCTGAGATCTTCCTTTCTCCCCATCATCTTGGCATTTCACTTCCTGGAAAGCTGAGCTATCATCTGCAGGCTTGAGGATTTCCCAGTGCCTGCCCCAACTAATACTTACCTTTCTTCAGTCAGAAAAATGTCTGTTTCTCCCTAGTTTTTTTTTCCTCGCATTAAATCAGCTCCTACCACATGATAAAAAACATGTTCAAGCCCATGGTAAGTCATGTTTAAAAATAGCCTTGGTATCAAACTTAATTAGAAATATTTTAAAAGTGAATTTAACCCCGAGGAAAAGACCCGTGGAAGATCACACATGATTTTCCTTTACAGAAACCATGTTGCTGCCTCCATCCCAATGTACAGGAGGTCGACATTTATTAAAGATTCTTCCAGCTTGCCTACAAAAGTACCAGACACTCATCAGTTTCTAGTTCCCAGGGCCCCTCTTGCCTGTGGAGCCAAACCGACAATCTGCACAGTGAGCACCCAGAATCACAGGCTCCAGGTTTTCATTAGAGGGACAATGATTTTTCCCTTTGATTTCTTTGAGAAGTCGAGTCTGGTCAGGGCAGTATGTGAAGGCACCTCTGATTCCAAGGGTGCCAGAGAGGCTTCCGGACCCAAACATCTCTCCTGTTGGACTAAGCTGCTCAACTAAAATCTAAAATTCCTTTAACAGGAAAGATACTTTTATTCTACAATTAGAAATAGGTCTTAAAATGGAATTTTTGCATAACCTCTCCTCCTCACCCTCACTCTGCCGTGGATGTATGTTTAACACTTTGATCACCCACTGGGGATCAGGTGCCCCTGAGGAAACAACCCACCAAATCTGGGTGACGTGGAGATCAACGTGGGTTGAATAATAATGATGATGATGAGGAGGAGGAGGAGGAGGAGGAGGAGGAGGAGGAGATACCCAGGTACCCACCAACTAGCTTAAGAAATTGAGCATTACCAGTATTTTTGAACCCCTTGTGGGGTAAAGGGACAGTTTTCAGTTATCTGTGGCTACTTTTTAATTTTTTATTGAAGTATAGTTGATTTACAATGTTGTGTTAGTTTCAGGTGTACAGCAAAGTGATTCATTTCTACATCTACATAAATATACATATTCTTTTTCATATTCTTTATCATTATAGGTTATTACAAGATATTGAATATAGTTCCCTGTGCTACACAGTAGGTCCTTATCTATTTTATATGTAGTAATATGTATCTGTTAATCCCAAATTCCAAATTTATTCCTCCCCTCCTTTCCCCTTTGGTAACCATAAGTTTTCTATGTCTGTAAGTCCATTTCTAGTTTGTAAATAAGTTCATTTGTATCTCTTTTTTTTTAGATTGCACATGTAAGTGATATCATATGATATTTGTCTTTCTCCCACAGAACTTTTCTTTTTTTTTTTAAAGGCATTCTTTCTCTTTCTCTCTTTTTAATAGAGGTACTGGGGATTGAACCCAGGACTTCCTGCATGCTAAGCTCGTGCTCTACTACTGAGCTACTTCCCTCCCCTGCCCCCACAGAGCTTTTCTTGACAGATTTTGAAAGGGTTAGAGCGTGAGTACTCTGAGCATTCAGAGGAGGAGGAATTGGGTACTGGAGGAGTAGATGAAAAGGGGCACAAAAAATAAAACAATCTCTGCAAACTAAATAGTTTCATAGAGGGTCAGCCCTAGTAACTGTGTCACTAAGTTCCGGTCATTATGTCTTTGACTACTTCTAGTTGCTTGGAACCGGAGTCTCTTGTACATTTACCATTATGACCTCTGACTCATCTGCCGACCTCAAAAGATAGAGCAGACATAGGAATAGCTCACTCACTAAAAAAGTCATTCTGTTTATCTGCAATCTCTTTTTCATCCTTTTTGTTCCATGAGGCCCCTGGTTTTCTGGCTCACTCCTTACCTGTGATAAATGAAGGACCTCTTACTGCTGATTCACTTACAAGATGCTCTAATTTTTGTTTGCCATGCAGTTTCTAGTTTACTCCTGAGCTACCTCTCCCTGTGGGATTCATGAGCCCTTTTTCCTTCCCTTCTTTCCTTCCTTCCTTTCTTCATGGCTTTTTCCTCTGCTATAGCCTTTTTTTTTACTTTGCCAGTTAGGTGGGAACTTAATGGTTTCATCTTAAGTTTGAACATACCATCTTTATTTTTTAAAAAGTTGTCTTAGGGTTTCTCTTTTAAGAGACTGGATATGGAATCTTTACATGAACATTTTCAACACCAAAAGTTCCATTTTATGTAAAAGACAATTTCACAGTCAGAGCTCCTAGGTCATTCAATGCTAATTTAGAAGGGCAAGGGTCATCATTTCCAATAAGGTATATACACACAAAATTTTGATAGGAGAGTAAAGCTGTTTTGCCAAAGGGAACCATTGGCTGATTCCCAAGCTCTGTCATCTGGAAGCGCAGTATTTTACTGCTCTGTCCACGTTTAACCTGTTTGCTCTTTAATTGTTTTTGAATGCAATGTGAGAGAGTCCGAATAATGTTTAAGCTGTTACCCAAAATGCTGTGTTGATGACTTTGGGAGCATGTATAGTTAAGGAATCTAGGAGAGAAGGACAGTAACAAGTACATCTTTGTGGTTGGCTCAAGAGAGGTTTTGTTTGTTTGTTTGCTTTAAGAGAGGTTTTGATAAGTAGTAGGGTACCTCTCTGAAACCAGAAATCTTGCAGGATGACCAAACTACTTGCTTACTGTGAACTGTCATGACATATGCATAGTTTGAAGAATCGCAGGGTTGTGTTCAAACTTCTTAGTTTGTATCTTACCCATCATTTCAGAACCCTAGCAGCCAGAAAGCATTCTTTACTAAGAGTCCAACTATTAGTATATATCTCACAGGAAAGCTATATATGTGGTGCTTATAATGTGTATGTGTACAAAGCATACTGAAGTTGATACAACCTTTTGGGGAAAAAAAAAACCCTCACATTTTATTAAGAATGTTCAGCTATTCAACTTTGTAAGATAATTAAGTACAGCCACTGCGTAAGTATTTCACCAAAAGGAAAACACATTGTTAAACAGACTTCTCAATGAATAGGGCTTATGAAAGGCCCTATTAAGCAGGATTTCTTGATCAATAGCAGTCAGTATATCCACATATGCAAAACTTTGCTAGTAAGAGCTATCAACCTGACCAGAGAAAAATCTTATTGTAGTGAACTAGGGTTCATAGTAGTAGTTATTAAAGTAAGAATCTACCTGTATTTGGCCTGTTCATCTTGAGACCTATGGCTTATAGTCTATCACTCAAAATTGAAAGAAACTCTTTTTCCTTATCAAAGATCACTGACGTAAAGAAAAATTCAGAGATCCCAGAAATTAAAAAAAAATTGCTCTTTTATGAGAGAAATATTATACTTTTCTATTTCAAAGGATGTCTTATAGCTCTTCAACTGCTTTTTTTCAAACATTAATTCTACTGTGCTTGGGATAACCAGAGTAGCCTCCCCTGAAAGAGCTTGTTCTCTAGGACAACACAAGTTCATTAAAGGAATAGCTCATTTAAACCTAAGTTTTTTTCCTGTGGGGAATTCCTTTGTCCATTTATACTGAGCTCCACTGCTACTCAGTGAAGAAGAGAAGAAAACATATTGCTAATACCTAGTATAATGTCTCTATAGTTTATATTTATT